CCTAATAACTTAATTAAATAAGACAGAATTAAAATTTTATTTTAAAAAAATAATTTATTAATATTTATCTGAGGTACAAATCTTTTTACACCAACCCATATATAATAGTAATATATCTATATATCTCAAATTATCTTTTGCATAAATATCACTTGATCAAAATTAGAATAGAGTTAAGATTAGAATTAGTACTAGAGAAATAGATTAATATTGATATAAAGCATATAAAGTAGTATTAATCCAAGTTAATATTTAAGACATAATATAAAAATGTGAGATCTTATTTTATGGTTTTTTTATTACAGACTGCATATAGAGAGAGAGAAATATATATATATATATATACATACTCTAGAAGCAATTTGAGCAGTTAAAAAGCATTTAGATTTAAAATTAAATATGCTATCATACTTAGAAAGAATTATTTTCAGAACCTAGAGGATCTTGTTTTTTAAATTTTTAAATTCAGATTATTTAGAAAGCTAGTAAATACATTGGTATACTTTACTTGTCACAATATTTTCATTGGTAGCTTTGAGAAATAGACATTCACAATAATGATTTACAATTTATCATAATCATATATTTATTCAAATATATATAATATTCTATATTACAAAATAAAAATTAGTTTTTTTATTTTTTTTTGGTTATAAAGTTTAAATTTTTTATTAATTTTTTGATTTTTTGTGGTGACCACCCTCTACCAAATGGTTCTCGAGACTTCACTTCTTATCTGAAAAAAGCAGTAGTCTCAAGAAGCTCTCTTTAGTACTTAAGAAGCTTGCTGATGTAATCACTAATAAACTTCTTTATTCACCACTGAAGAGAGTCAGTCATCACGTATGTCTCTTCTTTCTGGTGGTGAAATTCTTTTTCTATCACCAGGTGGACCAGCTATATAGAGATGAAAAAATTATCATTAATATTAGGATGGATAAAAAATGATTTAATAAATTTAATATAGAAAATTTCTAGTGCATAATATAATTTGGTTTGTACTTACCCTCCTGATATATTTTTTAAATTCCGCCACCTTAAATTCCCCCTTCCAGCAGCTGCAATGATCTATTACCAAATTCTGCAGCTATTATTAAATAAAAATATATTGTAGTTAAACTCTCTATAGTTACATTTCTATTCAAAAAATCATCACTCTATAGTCATATTCTTGTAAACTTGCTAGAAAAGGTATATACAAAATGAATCCTTACCTTCTTCTTAAATTCCACCTTGCTCATTATAACTGCTGGCTCCTTCTTAGCTCCACTTTTCTCCTCTTGGGGCACTGACTCCTCAGCCACATATTGCGAAGCCATTGCCTGCTCAATAATCATATCAATTAACATTATGCTACACCCCTCCAGCATCTGCCGATCCTCCACCACCAGTTGATCCCACTGCATTTTTTTTGTAATAAAATTATAATAATAAATTTGACCTTCATCTCCCACAAGTTCATATCAATTTGGATGCAATAATCCTGATTGAATAAGTTTTGGGACTTGTGATAGTGAAGTGAGATCAGATAATAATAATGTTGGTTGAGTTAGTGTGATCAAAGTTGATTATTTCACAGCTGATGAATATAAAATTACTACATTATCATGATATAGAATTTTACTAATTGCTGTTGCTGTTACATTTTATATTCAAACTTCTACCTTTATTTAGACTTCTTTGTTGATGATGTGTGACTAATTGTGGAGTAGGTTGATATCAATTTGTAGATATGGACGCTAAAGCTTTTTGAACATTATATGATGAATTATTTATTGAAGAAGGGTCTGATTCATATCTTAGTCTTTGTTCTTGTTCATTTTTATAGGCACAGAAATTGTGATCAACTTGATAAGAAGTGTAATAAGTATGAGTTCTAGAAAATTCATGACTACTATTATTGTAAGAAGATTTTTTTTGAGCTTGTGCCTCTTTATTCTTGAATTTTCTTTTTTCTTTCTTCTTTTGTTTCTCCTCTTCTAATTTCTTCACTTTACATGCTTTCTCTTCTTCTATGAGTTTTTGACTTCTTTGTTAATGATGTGCGACTAATTATGGAGTAGATTGATATCAATCTGTAGATATGGACACTGAAGCTTTTTGAATATTATATGATGAATCATTCATTAAAGAAGGGTCCAATTCATATCTTAGCCTTCATTCTGATTCATTTTTATAGGCACGGAAATTGCAATCAACTTGATAAGGAGTGTAATAAGCATGAGCTTCAAAAAATTTGTGACTACTATTGTTGTAAGAAGATTTTCTTCAAGCTTGTGCCTGCCTCTTTATCCTTGAGTTTTCTTTTTTCTTCCTTCTTTTATTTCTCCTCTTCTAATTCCTTCGCTTTATGTGCTTCCTCTTTTTCTATGAGTTTTTGTTCTTATTCGAGTTCCTCTTTCTATTTATATGATACAAATAAGAAAATAAAGATATAAAAAATTAGCAATGTAAAAATATTATTAGAAATTAAGAGAAGTTTCTTATTGGCAATATATTTACAGTCTTTTTTGGATATCTGTGTAGAAAAATAAGAGATTCCCACTTTTCAAAGAGCTAAAAAATAAAATGAATATTAGATTTAATAATTTATTAGTCAGCATAAAACAATTATAATGATAAAGAAATTATAGTAGAGAAAACTTACCGCATCTACTAATACTTTTATTTGTAGAGATCTTTTCTTGAATATCTCCATTTTCTCTTCAATTTTAGTATCATTTATTGTATTTCAAGCCATAATTGATAGTTTCAGCAATATCTCTAAGGTCTAATAAAGGGATTTTTTATCTAAGCTTTAAGAAATAAAAATATAGTTGAACATATTACAGAACATATCATTAAAACAATCTCATCATCTTGTCTTCATTCAACTAAATACGCTTTTAATATAAGCAATCCATGAAGATGCTTGAATTTGCTAAAAACATCATTATTATCTATCACCTATCATTATAATTCAAAAAGAGTTTACTTATGCTAAACTTGATTTTAACTGAAAGAATAAAAAATTTACATACCTTAAGATAATGTAACATTTTGAATACTTCATCTTGATTATATAGTATTCAGATCATTATTCTTATAAATTCAGGCACATCTTCAGCATCTTGAATTTATACTATTTCCTCATTATTATCTAATTTTTCATATCCCTTCTGATCTCCAAGATATTTACAGCAGTTATCTTCACCACAGTAACATTTTTGGGCAGCCATTCTAGTAGAAAAGATGATATATTACATTTAAGCCTTAATAAATATTAACCAGTTTAAGTATCATACCCTTTTCTATCCATATTGTAATCAAATGTGAGTTCTTCTCCCAAAACAATATCACGTAAAGTGAAGATTCCAATACGTATTCTTTTATTCACAATCCACTTCTGGATGTAGTAGTTTGGATTGCAAGAGTAGTTCATGAATCTCGTGATATTATCTCTCTCAGTTGTATCAATAAGCTGTTTAATTAAATATAAAAATAATGATCATTTTACATAATTAACATGAATTTCTTGATAAACCCTACCCTACCTCTCCATTAGGAAGACTCATAAAATAGAAATGTTGGATTTCTTTTTTTGTATAATCTGTTTGACGCTAATCAAAGATATCTTTTGGTATGATCTCTCCAATATACTCCATGATAAAAGTATTCCTATAAAATATAGAGAAAATAGAGAAAAGTTTCATAGAATAAAGATAATCGCAGCTTCAAGATTAAATCTATTTACATTTTAATTAGTGTCATCACTTGCAATCCATATCCTTTAGATTCGGTCTTAAAGACATTAACAACAATATATTCAGCTTTCTGGAATCTAACAAATCAAAAAAGATATGCATGACAATAATTAGAAAATTAGTTTTGTCAATAAATTTTATCCTAAATATTATAAGACTCATTCTAAAAAAAATAAAGATACTTAGATTTAAGATTTGCTATACCTTTTATTCTGATAATAGTCTCTAATAGGACAATCTCCTGTACATTCTATGAATAGTACATAATTAATACATTCAGATCCACAAGCATCATCGATTAGATCACCTTTAATAAAAAGATTATTAGCAAATTCTATCATCAACATAGTGATCATTGCATTATGGAGCTACTCTTAAAATTGATTAACTATAAAGGGTGTGATTATAGATTCTCCACAACAATATATTAAAGATTAACATTCAATTTTCATGAGATATTGAGAGCATTAGATTTCTAAAACTGATTAGCGGAATATGACTAATATAATTGCTCAAAATTTTACTAGAAATTTTCTTTCCCTTATAAGAGTCTATTTAAATCACATACATTCTTCACACATTAACTATAATGACAATAGTAATTACCTGGCTGATATTTGCAAGCACAAGCCCCATAGTCTTCATTACTCAGTTTATTAACTTTAAGATATAGCGCATGGTTATGATAGTTATTAGTAATTTGTTTATATATTTTGTTAGCTTCCACTAACGCGGAAGAATATTCAAGAAAAGTTTTATAATTCAGTGTGAAGGAGATGGTGGATATATTACCAATTCTTTAATAATGTTAAGAATAAAGTAAAAAAGATTTTTTAATCTTTGAGAGAACAAGAGAAAAAATTTTTATTTGCAATATGAATTATGACTCATAAAATAGATTATATCAGTATGCCTGATTTCAATTTACAATCAAATTAAAATACCCTCGGATCAGATTGAATATTAACTCAAGATTATTATGTGTGATTATCTCTAACTGGTTGACCAGGCTTTAATTTTGTTTCCAAGAATTTATGTGATTACTAAAATCCTGAATATAAAGTTATTTTCCACTTATATTTCAGATTTTGTTGATCTGAACAGATATCGAATTAGAGGAATAGTTTTATAAGACTATTCATCAAATATCTAGTAAATATCAGAAGAAAAGCATTATGAATTTTTGAATATATTATTAATAGTAATATAAATGTGTTATTTATATTTATTATTAAATAATTATTAAATAAAAATTGGAATAAACTCTTCTATAATAGAATAATTATTAAAGTAATATCCAAAGACATATATTAAGATATTTATAAATATTTACAATTTGAATTATTAATAAAATAATTCTTAAATATTTAAAAATCTGTTTTTAATTGTTGACTAAAAATATATAACAAATATAATTATAATTATTTTTAGTATATATAATAGTAGTCAAAGATAATATATCAGATGATTAATTTTATTAATAAAACTCTGACACATTATCTTTAGCTATTACTATATAAAATATAAACTAAATTATTAATATATAATATAATTCATTTTTAAATAATTTAATATATTATTATTACTTTTTATAATAATCATAATAATAGAATTTATTATTTTTCTTGTTTTTATAAGAAAAATATTTCTATATTTCTTCGAAATTATTTGTAAATATAATTATTTTTAAATATCTGATTTTTATTAAAAAATTTATATTTATTATTAATTATAATAAATACAAAATTTCTAAATATAAATATAATATAATTTATTAATTCTGAATAATCAGAATTTAAAAGAATAAAATTTAAATAAAAGTATTCTTGATAAAAATATCTTAAAGAAATAATAGTTTAATTATTAAAATATTATAATAAATAAAGTATTACTAGTTATAACTAGTTATAATATATAAATTTTGATTTTAATATGATAATAAATATAATATTTTAAATTATAAACTAAATATAATATATCTATATAAATAAATATTTTATAACTAATAAAAAATAAGTATATATTATATTTAAATATTCAAATTTTTAGAAAAATAATTTAATTATATTATAAATAAGATAACAAAGAGTAATAATATAAATAAATAGTAAGAAAAATAATTTTTATTAAAATAATATAGATAAATAATTATAATATTATAACTAAGTAAAAAATAAAATATATTATTATGGCAAATTGGTAAGTAAGATTTCACTTTAATTTATCTTAATAATATTGGGTTGGAAGAGACTGAAATAATTAAAGGTAAAGAGAGGGGAATTAGACTATACTTTCAATAATGACAAAGATTTCTAAGGCCTGTGCCAATATCTATAGATATTGTCTTAATAGAAGAGAAATAAAATAAAGAAAGAATAAAATAAATCAAAGAAATTATAAAGATTATCTGAGTGAAGTCACTAGTAATCAATATAATTCAAGATTTGAATTGATTAAATAGTATAAACTATTAATTAAAGAAGGCTATAACTAAAGTAAAGAAGAGTATTACTTGGACAAAAACTTAAAATCACATCTGTCTGATATGAAGCAAAAGTTAGAAAGAATGTTATTGATTTAATCATTGATACCAGTATCTCTGGATATGTTGCTATACATAATTTTATTAAAGATATGGGATTAAAAATCCAACGCAGTTCAAA